CATTTCATTTCCTACTCTGGGGCCAGCTCCAGCTAGTTCCTCCTACACCTCTGTTCCCCAACCACAGGGAAGTGGAACGTACTTCATTATCAGATCTACACATTTCCTTCAACCGTGTGTTGAGCAGCTACTGTGTACCTGCCACTTTCTTCAGGGAGCTCATGGACTAGTAGGAGAGACATACAAGTAGGGGCTATAATATAAGGAGAAGAAAATAGCGGAAGTGGGGAGGGGATGCTGAGTTATGTAGAGATAGCTAACAGAAGATTCATAGAATAGTTAGGAAAAGTCAATGGGTAAGTAAAGAAAGAGGCAGAATTAAGTTGTTTCCTTTGTTTGAGAAGTATATATTAGTTTCCTAGAAGGGCTGTGTACATTGGATACTTTTTCTTCCATTCCTGGGATACTTTGCTAAGAAGAACATTAAAGGGGAAGGAAGAAGGGTGGCTGGGTGGTGGGAGGTTGACCAGAAAGATCACCTATATTTCTGTCCAACAAGGGTACAAGTGAACTTTTCTAGAAATAGAATGTAAATGTTTTGACACAATGACTATGCAAATGACATGAAATTTATGTGAACCAGCTTGATGAAAGTATTTCAAAATGTATATGAAAACGCTACACTGTACCCCCTGTTTGCATTAATGTATAGAGCTATCATTTAATTAAAAAAAAAAAAGAAAGAGGCAGAAAGATAGAGGCAAAAAAGCAGCAAAGACAAAGAAAGCATGGAACGTGGGGGAACTGCCAGAAATTCAGTAAGACTTAGTTCTGGGACATGGCAAGGAAAATGCTGCAGAGTGGAAGTAGGAAGAGGGCCTCTTGAAGACCTTGTCTAAGGCAACTATAGGTCCAGCTAATGGGAAACCCGTAAAGGGGTTACAAAAGGATCATCATTTCTCCTTCACAGAGTCTCATTTTCTGTCAACACTGAGCAGAGAATAAGAAGTGATCTAGGGAGAAATAGAGAACACATCCTGAGAACCATAGAATATGTTACATGGTCTGAACTAAGTCTTCTGCTGCTCTGGTAACAAGAAAGGGGGAGATAGGTTGTAGTTGACTGTTTTAATTGCCCCCGATCTCCTGTTGGAGAGGGAGGGACTCCTACCCTGAATCACTGGAGGGTTATGCACTTAGACATTTGAATCTGACACTGACTAATGAATTGGACAGCAATTTGTTAATCATATATACTCACAGGATGGGAATTGCAGTTGGGAACAGACTGAATAAGCAGGGGCTCTGTGAGCCAGACTTTGTAGTGGCAAAAGAGTGAGGTGACCGCTGGTTACCATGAAAAGATGTGAGTGGCTTCTTCGATCAGTTCTGTGGGCTGGCAGAGAAATGAAAGTCATTACTCTGGGATAAGCTGGGACTCTGCCTGGTTCTCTTGACAAAGAGGGTCACTTGGCTCAAGGACCTTACCTGCAGGAGCAGATGGAGGGAAACTGGTGGTCAGACCATTTGAAATTCTCCCAATAGTACCAGATTTCAAGGCAGCACATAATATTGGGGATTAAGATCAGGCCTTACACCACAGATGACCACTCAATGTCTTGACGTCAATTGAAACCTAAAATTAGATGTGGGAGCCAGGGTCAGTGACACAGGGGGCCTTGTGGTATTCTAAGTGTGGCTGTGGAATTGGCTAGATTATGTGAATAGAAACTGGGGATCACACATGAGAGCCATTGCACAGCACAATAGTAAAGCCACAAACCACAAGAAAGGCAAACAGTCACATTGTATTTATTCATTTTACTTCTCTGGGGCCTGCTGAATGACTACTGGGGCTGCCAGATCTGGTTGGAGATGATTCTTTCCCAATTTTCCCTCAGCATACATGCTATTATTTTAATAGAAGGAAGATGTGAGGGAAAATAAAGAAGTTCATTATGGTTCCTTGTCTCTTCATCAAGAGACTTCCAATGGTTTGCTGACAGGAAGACTTTTTGAAGATCACAATTTCCCTTCATTTCTTTGTTTGATGCTTCTGGATAAAGCAGCACAATGACCTGAGGGGAACACAAGCTCCTGCACAGGTTCCAAAGGTGCCTATGAGGTAGAGTCAGCACTCATTTCTGACTAAGGATGCCTGAAAACATACAAGTGCTTATGTCTCTTTCTTCCCTGAATATCACTGGAATCATGGAAAACTCCATCTATCACAGCCTTGTTCATTATTGGGATCAGGTAAGGATCACCTGCTGTGGACAGATGAGAGAAAACAATGAGAATTTGGTAAAAAAATATAAAGTAAGGGAAAGAGATTCGTGTTGAAATATAAAAGAGCAGAGTTTCTTATCTTTAACAAAGTAAGTTCCTCTTAGAACTGCTGGCCAACCCCTCCTGCACACAGTGGAGGCTGGAAGGTGGAGCAGGTAGAAGGCCATGAGCAAGGGATTCAATAAAGGGCTACAAAAGCTCAGAGGCCATCTGCCATGTGGGACAAAGCCAAGATAAGCGCTCTATGACATAGAGATTCCACCCAAAAGAAGGAGGGCAATACCCAGGAAACTTAGAATTTGGACAGGACAACCATGTACCCCCAAACACAGAAAGCAGCTCTCTAGACCCGCCTGGACTCATATCCCTCAGCCTCTCCTCCACAAAGTCCCTGGAGGCAGGGATAGTGTTCCCAGAGTCTGTATTCACTGCTACTTACTATACAACTTGTTTTTCTGTAGAATAAAGACTGTCTGTGGTAAATCATCTAGTATAAACACTTAAATAATTACTTAACTCTTTAGAATGTCTAATCCAAGTGCTTTTAAACTATGGCTAAAACTCTCATAAGAAACAGATGATTGTAAGTTTAATTTATTTCTCAAATAAGAAATTTATTCTGCATATATATAGATAGATACATACACATATATCTCTACACACAAATATGTCAGTTAGGATTGTGTCCTCAATAAATAACAGAAAACCCTTAAAAACAGTGACTCATAAGAGCCTAAGGAGTAGCCATTCAATCCTGGTTATCCTCTGAATGATGTCAGCTGGCTGCTAGCAGGCAAGATGGCTGCTTCCCCTCCCATTTTCAGCATCTGTTTTAAGCAAGAAAGGAAGGGAGAAACAGGAAAGCTTAGAGCTTGAACCACAAAAACAAAGGCTTTGCCAGAAACCTCTACTGCTTAGGTTGTATTGACCAAAACTGTGTCACATGAACATTGCTATCTTTAAGAGGCATTGGGAAATCAGGTCTAGCACGTAATAGCCCAAAGAGTTGCTGCTCTTGTACCCGCAATGCGTCTTTGAAAGATACTAATCTCTACTTATTAACCTTCCCCTTTCAGGTTAACTCCAATTAAAACGGGATCCACTGGATACCATGGAACCAAGGAAAGGGGGCTTTGAAATTCAGTAGACATGGGTGAATTCCAGGTCTATCAGCTATATGCATAAATGCACTTGTTTTTTCTCCTTAAAAAGGTTTCTTTCTTTTTTTTTTTTTTAAAGGACCTTAAATGCCTTTTAGTTGAGCTGGTAACAGCTCTGAATCCTGCATTTGCTTGTAACTCTTAGCATTAGGTAAACCCACTTCTAGCACTAATCTGGCCAAAGTTGCATTGGAAATGTACGTAACCACTCTCAATTAGCTTCTTTTCTCTGTAGAATGGGAAAGTGGCCACTTCCTAAAGTTATGTAGGCCAAGTGAAAATTTAAAATGTTCCTGGAAATTTCTATTTTTAAAAGAGCAATTACGTTGTAGGGCAGCCTTGCACTTGGATTATTTTTCAAGGACTGTCAACCCACAAAGGTGCCTTCAAACTTTTTTTGAAAATCATCTCCAAAACTGCTTCTCTTAGTGAAAATACGCTTAAAAGTGCTGCCTCTGCCCATCCCATAGCTTTGGTCAGGAACTTTTTGAAGACTTACACAATGCTTAACAATTACCCATGCTGAGTGGGCCCCATCAAAATTAGCAGGCATCTAGAAATTAGAATCATTTGATTCCATAGGTATATCTGTAACAAGGAGATTGTTGAGTTAGTACTTTATTTGAAAGCTACCCTAACTTTCTGTACATCTCCAGTGCATCTAGAAGAGTTGTTTATGAAGCATATTAGCCCAAATTGTGCTGGTTTTTTTAAAAAGTTAAATTAAAAGATATTAAATATTAACTCTTATCAAATAATACATACATACAATTTTAAATGTGTTGACAAAATATTCTTTCTGGGATGGTGGGATTTCACTGCTTTTTATCTTTTCTCTTTTGTCTCCATCTGTGTATTTTCTCCAGTTTCTAGAGTTATAGAGTAGAATTTCAAATGAAAATGTTCAGATAACTGGTTACATTCAAACCATCTCCCAGAGAAGAAGAAGGAAAGTTCAATGGAGAAAGTATGTTGTAAATTTAAGACTTTATTGAACAGACCTAAAGTGAAGTTACTGGCAATTTCAATGTTTTCTTGAAAACAGGATTCAGATGAAAAATTATCAGTTTTCTCCCTCATTCATAATTTGTATATTCACCCATCATCCATACACTATATTTATGGATTGATGTACTAGACACTGTATTAATTAATCTAGCTATAATTTTACTTAGTTTAGAAAGTTATGCAGCAACTTTTCACACTGGCAAACTGGATTGTATAAATATGGGTGATCTCAATTTTATTTTTGTTTATGTAATCTCTTATAATGGCCTTCATATACATAAGGAACTTTATGTAAGTATTCAGAATGGTTTGAGGGTAAGAAAAGAGAGTAACACATAGGGCCAGGGATAGAAGGATAGGTAAATGGAGGATAAGTGGAGAACAAGGACTAAGGGAGAAAATTCTGGGAAAGTGGGTGGGGAAGGGGTGGAGCTGGGACTATTAAGAGCTGAGTGACAGTCCAAGGGATATAAAAGCCTGATTGGCACTTGTAGGGTAAGCAGCAAAAAGCCCAGAAAGGGGCACAGGCACTGGTTGGTAGATAACAACAGCTCAGGCCCCAGGACAAGGTTGAAAAGCCCAGAGCTGGAGACCAGGCCTAAGATGCCTCGCCTGTTCTTGTTCCACCTGCTAGGAGTCTGGCTGCTACTGACCCAAATTTCCAGAGCAAAAATGGATAAGGGGGAGGATCTGAACCAAATTATTTTTGCATGTGGCCGCCGACTAATACGCATTTGGATTGAGGTTTGCGGCTCTACAGGTTTCAGAGGAAGAGCTAAGAGCCAGACAGAGCACCAACCCGGATCTGAACCTTTCTCAGGTGAGAGCTCCCGCCCCCCCCAACCTTTCCGCATTTCCCATTGGTTGCCCTTGGACTGCTGACCAATTGGAACGGCCCCTGCCCAGCTCAAGCTCTTCACTGGCTGCTTGTGCTCAGCCCTACTCCGCCATAGCCGGTACCTGAGGTTTGAGCTTTCTCCCAGTAACAAGTTTTTAATGAAAGGGTCTCACGGGAATCTCACCAGACAGCACACTGTGAGAGTAGGAATTAGCCTCACCTCAGAGGCATTAGCGCCATAGTCACCTGGCCCTGGGACAGGGCGGAGGGGATGCCACAGAGCAGGAGGCGCTGCCCAGAGACCCGCGGGGCGTGGTGCTCTCCTGGCCCTCGGGAAAGCTGGACCGACAGACGGTGGGAGCTCGGGCGCCAGGATCCTAGACCGGCATCTCCAATAGGGAAGAAAGGGGCAGAACCCTGAGACCTCCGCTAATATCCCAGAACAGGAGACAGGATGACTCTCTTCCTTTGTCAAATAGCTAAATTGTGGCCTAGGCCATCCGAAATGGTATTTTTTAAAAAACAAAACAAAAGCATTCCAAAAGGGACAGAGAGTCTAGACTCCCATCTCTTTGAACCGAATCTTGAAGTTCCCTTGTGAGAGGCGGGTGGAAGAGAAAGAACAGGCCTGTTCCCCTAAAAGAGAAATGGAAGGGGACCACGGACAAGGGTAGATCGCCCTTCAGACCATCATAGTTGAAGACCTTCTTGATGCTTTCAAGTATTTGAAAGTGCAGTGGATTTGATTTAAAGGGAGAGCACAGAACTGAGTACAGCTCAAATCTGGAATAGTTTAGCAATTTGTTTTGTAAAGATAAATTGGAAACTAGATTAAAAGTAGCTGTGGACAGTTGGTAGAGGTATAGATTAGGCTAATCAGTGGAATAGGTCATATTAAATGAACAGAGGGCAAGCTCAATTAGCAACAATAAACGTTTTCTATTTCATATCACACATGTGGTTTATAATAAATGCACATGTTATACATAAGTGACTCTCATGTAAAATCACTGTACACATGAAATATATTTCCTTCTATTTCATGAGATTTAAAGTATGACTATAGTTACTTGTATACATTTTTTGTCAGAGGTAATTTATTTAATGGCAGTTTTACATTATTTTTGTGTGAGATTAACAGACGAATACCACAGAGTCTAGGAATTTACCGATTCAATCTAGAGAAAACCAGACTGAATTGTATTTGCTTTTTTAGTTCATTTTTTCTGAACACGAGGGTAGTAATGCTCATACGTGTATTAAAGACAAAGATACGCATTAATGCAGAGAGAAAAGTGAAAAGTACTCACAGATAGTAAAGATTTTGACAAAATGTGTATCTAACGAGAAAATGAAAATATATTGAACAAGGGACTGGAAAGGCATGTTAATGTTTGGAAAAGTATATATGTACCTGTTGCATTTTTACTTAACATTCACCTTTGAGCAGTTTCTCACATTATTCTTCAAAAACATAATTTAAAATTTCTGTCTAGTATTTTATGTTTTGAAGATACCGTATATATTTAAACATTCTTTGCCAAATATTTTGATTACTTCTACATTTTTGTTGAAAATAGTTTGTTGAGAACATTAGTTTTCATCTAAACTTTTATTTCCTTAGAAGAGAATTGTGATTTTAAAGTATTTAAAAAATTTTTTTCTTACTGCTACACAGGACACAATTTAACTATAAATAACCTAATAAGATATTGCCTCAAAGTGGGGATTAAGAGAAATGTTTACCTTATCTGGTAGGTAACATTTTGGCAGGACATGTCAGTAATTTATGATTCATAAGTGTTTTCAGAACTTTACTGTCATGTAGTTGCTATTTGGTTTTATATTATGAAATTGTTAGCTAAATATTTTACTCCACTATAAGAACAGCAATTAGGAGATCATGAAGTTATATGACAAGGAACTAATGGAGGAAGGCAGAACCTTGATAATATTATAGTACCTTAATATGTTTAACTCTAAGTAAGCTATGTTGTTATGATAACAGGATATTTGTTTCAATGTTTAATTATATTGAGGAAATGGTTTCTTTTTTGCCAATGCAAACATTTATAGTTTTGCCTTATGCTCCTTGACATGAATGTTTCTCTCACACCTTTTTTTTTAATGACTTAACAGAAATTGTGCCATCATCCTTCATCAACAAAGATGCAGAAACGATAAATATGATGTCAGAATTCATTGCTAATTTGCCACAGGAGCAGAAGACAACACAGTCTGAGATGAATCTACCTTCACCAGAGCTACAGCAATATCCACTCACCTTAAAGGGTTCAGATATTAGCTTTGAAGAAGTTAAGAATAATATTCATAATAAACAAGGTGAAGGAGAAGACAACAGTCATTCAGAATTACAAAACTTAGGATTGGATACTCATTCCCGAAAAAAGAGAGAGCGCAATATGTCACCATTGCAGAAATGTTGCCGAATTGGTTGTACAAAAAAATCTCTTTTAAGATTTTGCTGAATTGAAGCTAATTATGTATATCTCATCTAATGTTCACATGCATTCTTTATGGCGTTTTCACTGATGCCTCTGTCAGGTCCCACTGATTATATGAATAGGAGAAATCTTTACTTGTATTTTGATTTTTCATTTGGCATATAAAAACCATTTCTTGTATTTTGTAGTTTTTGTTAATAATACTGTTTGCACTGAGAAGTCTTTTTGTATTCTTTATTAACAATATGATTACATTCCTTTTTAATGCTGTTAGCTTATAATTATAGTAAAATATGTATCACTTTAAGCATACATAATAACTCAATAATACAATGCTTAACACCATTTAAGGAAAATGAACCAAAATATTTTGTTTGTATTTATAATAATTCTTAGATTGAATGTACATAAAGTCATAAAAATTGGACTTGTCTGAAGATTTTAGAAGGTTTTGGTGTCATGCTCAACTGCTCATTGCAAACAGTCAGATTGGAAATTAAATGCATTTCATTAAGTCGAGGCCATATAAACACAATTACTTTTCAAACTAGGATCCTACTTTTAGCTCTCCCTCCTGGGGAAATAAAAATCAATGGCTTATTTTAAGGAGAAAACTGAGTAGACATATATAGAAGAAAACGAACAACTAATTTAGTAAGGGAACACCCTTTATGTTCACTACTTCAGAATTTACAAACTATTTCTGTAGGAAAAAAATAACTGAAATGGTATAAAAACTTGATAGAAAAGTAAATTTATATAGTCATCAACTTAGTATTCAGCCAGTTTCTTCACATATATATGTGTATACACATATGCATTTTTTGCCTACATTCATAGACAAATGCACTTAAATGGCAAGTTCTTCCCCATCAAATGTCTGTAAACAGAATTTTAAGAGATTAAGGCAGAAATTCCCATATTTCAAGTTTCCATATGCAATGAATCATAACCAAACTTCTAGGGTCTACTAAGTCATCCTGGAGTCCTCATGAATGATTGCAAAACCTTAGAGACTGTAAGTCACCTTGGATAGAGCCAGGCCGAGTGCTGTCTGAAATAAGAGAATGAGAGCAATGCCCAGCAAACTTACAGCTCAGACAGGACAAGCAGGCCCGGCCAGATGGAGAAGCCTGTTCCCGTCCCACAAGTACTCTTCCACAGAATTCATGGAAGGCAGAGCTCCTAAAATTAGAATCCATATTTACTGCCTCTGATGGTAATGACTGCTTTTTAAGTGGTTCATAGATAATCTGCAGTTACCTGTCTACTAGAAACAGGGAAATAATTACTTCAATCTATTTCGAGTGCTACTAAAGTTGACCTAAAACTCTGATGAGAAACTGATGATTGTGAGCTTAATTTATTTCTCCTGTAACATATGTATTCTGTTTATACACACGTATCAGTTAGGATAGTGTTGCCTGTAAGTAACAGAATACAGGCTTGGAAGCCTACAAAAGTGGCTTCCAAGAAGCCCATAGGTTAGCATCCAATCCTGTTTAGCCTCTGAATGATGCCAACAGGCTGCTCCTGTCCTCCCAGATAGGGGTGCCCAACACATAGCCCTTCCTCCTTGGGGCCCAAGATGGCTGCTTCACCATATCTGCTGAACCGCCTACTCCACTCACCACACACTCCTAAATTTTCCCCATCATTAGCATGTTTGTTACCACTGACAAAAGAAGTCTGACATATTAACCAAAGCCTATAGATTACAAAGAGGCTCAGGGTGCGTTTCAGGCAGGAAAGGAAGAGGAAACAAGCAGGCTTAATGCCCGGATGAGAAAAGCAAAGGCTGTGCCAGACACCCTCACACTTCTAGTTGGCCAGAGATGTTGTCACATGAACACTTAACCACAAGACCTGTCTAGCATTTATAGCCTCAAGAGTTGAGATAGTTAAGGGAGAAGGTTCTAGAAAAGGAGTTTGGGGCAGTTAACTTACTGGTAGGTTTACGTGCTTTGTTCTTGTGCCTATAAAGGACTCTGTGAAAGATATTAAGGTCTTTCTATTGCCCTTCACTGTCAGAATAACCCCAATTGTAGCTGGATCCAAGGGACACTGTGGGAGAAAAGAAAGAACTCTCTGGAATCTGGTAGATATGGACAGGAATCACGGCCTCAGCACTAACTAATTATAAGTATCTATACTTTCTTGTCTATACAAAAAGGACTTTTTGTACAGAAAAATATTTATTTTTACTCTTAATTAAATGTCCATATTTAAAGCCAGTTTCAGATTGATAGAAGCATAAAATGGAAAGGACAGGGTTACCAAATGCCCTGTCTCTCACCACAGTAAGTTTCTTCCTTGTTAACATTTTGCATTTGTGTTGTACTGTGGTACATTTGCCTCAAATGGTGAACAAATATAGATACACTATTATTATAATTACTAGCAGGGGTCCTCAAACTTTTTAAACAAGGAGCCAGTTCACTGTCCGTCAGACTGTTGGAGGGCCAGACTACAGGCCCTGGGACGAGTTGTCTGCTAAGCAAGACAGGCAGAGGCGGTAAAAACACCCAGCGGGCCTGATAAATGTCCTTGGTGGGCCATGTGTGGCCTGTGGGCCGTAGTTTGAGGACCCCTGGTAGAGTCTACATTAGGGTTCACTATTCATGTTGTAAACTCTGAATTTCTTTAAAAAACATTGACACTTTTTAGAGTAGTTTTAAGTTCACGGGAAATTTGAGTATAAAGTACATCTACTCCTCTCAGCACACACCTCTATATTTTCCCCGTCATTAGTACATTTGTTACAACTGATGAAAGAACTCTGACATATCATTATTAACCAAAGCCTAATAGATTATGTTATGGTTACTCCTTGTGTTGTACATTCTATGGGTTTTGACAAGTGTAGAATGAAATATACTCTCTTTCTAGCCTACCCTCTATGCTGGATTGCCTGTTCCGTGGGATACAATGGAACTTCGGGTACAATGGAACTGATGCATGGCCTTGGGTGACAGGGCTTGGATGCCAGGTTCACAGCTGCACCACTTGGTCCAGCTTAGGTCATGACACTACAGCTTTCTGTGGGTATTAGTATTATTTGTATTTTAGTATTGAAAATAATTTTCACTACCCTAAAAATTCTGTGTTCCACCTATTCATCCCTCTCTCTCCTTAAATCCCTGGAAGCCACTGAACTTTAAACTGCTTCAATGGTTTTGCCTTTTCAGAACCTCATACAGCATTTTCAGATCGGCCCCTTACACTTAGTAATGTGCTTTTAAGTTTTTCTCCATGTCTTTTCATGGCTTGATGCCTCATTTCCTTTTAGCACTGAATAATATCCAATTGTTTGAAGGTACCGCAGTTTATTTATTCATTCACCAACTACAGGACATCTTAATTTCTTCCAAGTGTTGGCAATTATAAATAAAGCTGCTATACACGTTCACATGCAGGTTGTTAGGTAAAAATAAATTTTTGACTCATGTAGATAAATATCAAGGAACGTGATTCCTGCATTGTATGTTAAAAGTATGTTTAGTTTTGAAAATTTTCTGCCACATTGTCTTCCAAAATAGCTGTAACATTTTGCACTTCCCACCAACAGTAAGTATTCCTGTTGCTCCGTATCCTTACCTGCATTTCATGTTGTCTGTGTTTTGGATTTCAGCCACTCTAATAGTTCTATAGTGATATTTCATTGTTTCAGTTTGTAATTTCCTAATAATGTATGATGTTGAACATCTTTTCATATGCCTATTAGCCATCATTATATCTTCTTTGACAAAGTTTTTCTTCAAATCTTTTGCCCATTTTTTTAGATTTGAATATTTTATTTTTGTTTGCTTGTTTGCTTTATTTCAGATTAATGTGAGAATACAGACAATTAGGTTACAATGTTTGCATTTGTTCTAGCTGTGTCCTGCACTCAGGAGCTGGGCCATATACCCTTACATTGTGTCCATTAGCTGGGACCACACCAATCCTCCTCCCTCCTCTCCTCTTCCCCTGCCCACCCCCCCAACTTGAATTGAGTTTGTGTGGGCACATATTATATTGTTTACTGCTTTTGCCCATTTTTAAATCAGTAGGTTTATTTTCTTATTGTTGAATGTTTATGAGTTCTCTGTACATTTTGGGTAATAGTCCTTTATCAGATATATGTTTTGAGAATATTTTGCTCTAGTCTTTGCCATTTCACTCTCTGAACAGTGTACTTGCAGAACAGAAGGTTCTGACTTTAATGTAGTCCAACCTGTCAATTTCTATTTTCTCGGACTATGCTTGATATCGTACCCAAAAAGCCACTGAAAAGCTCAAAGTCACTAGAATTTTTCTTATGTTATTCTAAGAGTTTTATAATTTTGCATTTTTATTGTGGTAAAACGCACAACCAAAATTTTTAACATTTTAATCATTTTTTTAGCATATACATAGTTTACTGTCATAAGTATATTCACATTGTTATATGCTATTGCCAATATTCATATCCAGAACTTTTCCATCATCTCAAACAGAAACTCTATACCCCTAAATAAGAACTCACCATTCTGTCACTCCAAACCCCTGGTATCCACCATTCTATTTTATGTCTCTGTGAAATTGACTATTAGAAGTACTGCATATAAGTGGATCCATATAATGTTTGTTCTTTTGTGTCTGGCTTATTTCACTCACCATAATGTTTTTTAAGATTCTAACATGTTCTCGTTGGTATTGGAAATTCATTCCCTTTCATGGAATGATAACATTCCATTATATGTATATACTGCATTTTGTTTACTCATTTTCCCTGATGGACATTTAGGTTATTTTCCCTTTTGGCTTTTGTGAATAATGCTGCTACAAATATTACTGCATAAGTATCTTTTCAACTCCCTGCTTTGGGACACGGTATCTCATTGTGATTTTCCCCCCTTTTTGAAATGTTTTTAATTGACAAATCATAATTGCAAACATTTCTAGGGTAGCGTATGATTTTTCATATTTGCGTACAATGTGGAGATGTTAAATTAAGCTAACCTTGTTTATGTTACTTTCTATGGTGAGGCATTTGAAATTTA